AGAGAGAGAGAGAGAGAGAGAGAGAGAGAGAGAGAGAGAGAGAGAGAGAGAGAGAGAGAGAGAGAGAGAGAGAGAGTACTGCTACTTGGAACTGTTGACTAATCGAATACTGCTTATGTGAGGCATCTGTAATTACCTTGCTTACTTTGACCTCTGGTGAGGGCTTTCGGCAAAAGTGATTGGGCACTGATAGCAGAATGTTATGCTTCAGTGGTTCAGCTGAGATACAGTTAGCGAATGGTTCTAGCATCCAATTCAAGTTGCAGGAGAATAGAAGAAAATCAGAAAAGGGAAAAAGAGAGGGTGAAACAAGAAAACTTTAAAGGCCCATTGACATACTGGTATATGCAAAAAGAAGAACACGTACATATCCGAAGTCTTGCACGTAGCAATAATCCAGACGGATCCCACTTTGCTCTCAAGAGTCTTCTCAAGCCTGCAAAATTGTTAAGATGCATGCTGGAGAGTAAGGAATCACAAGCATAAGAAATCACAAACGTAGGGGTGGAGCCCAACCGGTTCTATGTTTGTGCTCAGAAAGCAATGAGCCTCGTCACAAGAATGTGCAAGTTTGTGCTTTCTCTGCATGTGTATCGCACCAGTAAGGTCAGGCCCCCATTTAGTGCTGATAAAGACAACCAGGTGCTATCTGGATTATGAATTTAATGAAAAGAAAGCATACAGGTAGGGCACTCGCGGCACATTAAGACTGAGCAGTACTTTTTTTTGTCCTTTTTCTTTTTTTCAAACAGAGCCTTAGGGTTCTGGCTTCTTTTCCATTGTGCGAAGCATCAGTCCGGTCCCTATTCCACCAGCAAGTCAAAAATAGTACAACAGTTACTCGCACAAGCTTCTCCCCATGATGGTTGAGAGACCGGAGTGGACGGCATTAGCAAGAAGCGACAGTAAAAGCAGAAAAGCTGTAATTAGCACAAGACCAAACAAATAGAGGTAATCTATGCATGGTCATTCCTGGGCCACGCATGTTAAAAATAGTCATAATGAAATTGATAGCACCTAATATTGAGGAAACACCCGATAAATGAAGACTAAAAATAGCTAGATCCACCGCTCCTCCAGAATGACTGGTTATACCGCTTAATGGTGGGTAGACCGCCCACCCGGTACCAGCACCTACTTCCACTACACCAGAACCCCTGGGGAAGGATTTACCACCCCTCACCCTGAAACAGTTTTCACCTTTGGCAGTAGCCGATGCAGATCCCAGGGGTCGATCCCTTGACCTCAGCTTACCTGTGTACAGTATCTGCACAG